AACCTTCCAACGTATGCCCGTATGCAACAAATCTTTAGTTGCAAATATACTCTTCCAGACAAAGCTTGAGTTGGAGCCAATCTGAGCCTCAAGGAAACTACAATCACGAAAATATTTAGCTTTGAAGACTTTAGAAACTAGAAGGTCGGGTTGAGTTAAAAACTTCCATGCCATCTTCCCTAGCATAGCCATATTAAACTCGTGCACCTTTTTAAAATTAAGTCCACCTGAAAACCGATGGCGACTTAACCTTTCCCAACTCATCCAGTGAATACTCTTAGAAAACTGCTTGTCTTTACTCCACCAGAATCTCGCCATCATCTGTTCCAGGTCCGTACAAAGAGTCTTAGGCAGCAGGAAAAGTGACATAGCATAGGTGGGAATAGCTTGAAGCACAGACTTCAACAATATCTCTTTCCCTGCCTGAGACAAAAACTTGTTCTTCCAAGTAGAAATTCGCTTCCACACTCTATCTTTAATGTAGTTCAAAACTTCCCTTTTATTACGACCAATGGCTGAGGGTAAACCCAAGTACCGACCCAAATCATTACTTTCTTGAACACCAAGTGTAGAACATATAGCACCCCGAATAGCTCTTTCGGTATTAGGACTAAAGCAAATGACAGATTTGGTGAAGTTAATTACCTGGCCCGAAGCACTCGCATATTCTTGTAAGAGCTGCTGAATCTTCCGAGCCTCACTCATAGTGGCATTAAAAAAGAGAAGGCTATCATCAGCAAAGAAGAGATGACTAATAGGGGGGGCATCACGGGCCACTTTACATCCTGTAATAGTACCCCTATTCACCTCGTACTGAATCAGTCGTGACAAACCTTCTGCTCCAATAATAAAAAGATAAGGAGATATGGGGTCTCCCTGTCGAATGCCCCGACTAGGTATAATAGGCCCAATACTCTTGTCCCGGTATCGAATCGTATAAGTAACTGTTATGACACAACTCATCAAAAGGGAAACCATATGCCTATCAAATCCTATTGCTCGCAAGATACCTTCAAGGTAAGTCCACTCCATGCGGTCATAGGCTTTACTAATATCAATCTTTAAAGCTGCCAGACCCACCCTTCCTTTACGTCGATTCCTGAGGAGATGTAAAGATTCATACGCAATAGCACAACAATCATGGATATCTCTCCCTGCTACAAAACCACTTTGATTCAAGGAAATAATCTTTGGTAAGAGAGTTTTGAGCCGAAGAGCAACCATCTTACTCATAATTTTGTAGAGAACCCTACATAGAGCAATAGGTCGAAGATCCCCCATGACCTCTGGATTTGTTTTTTTGGGAATAAGGACAACATCTGTAGCCCCCATCTCATTTGGGATGACTCCAGAATTTAATTGGGAAATGCAATATGATGTAACATCAGTCCCTAAAATATCCCAAAATTGTTGAAAGAAACCTGGATTAAAACCATCCCCCCCGGGGGATTTGTCAGGATGCATAGAGAATACCGCTTGTCGAACCTCTTCATAGGAATAAGGCTGTCGTAACATAGCATTATCCTCCCTTGAAACTAGGGAGGGAATTAATGACTGGATAATATGGCCTGGATTCCCTTGGGCATGATAAAGCTCCTCAAAGTACTCCTTAATAGTATCCTCAAGACCATTGCTCCATGTACGCAATTGACCATTTGAATCCGTCAACCTGTCGATCCTGTTGAGGCGCTGTCGTTCAGAGGCTTGAGCATGAAAGAACTTTGTGTTGCGATCTCCTTGAGTGAGCCAAAATTGTTTAGCT